CTCCTAAACAGGGAATTTTTAGACACCCCTGATACATTTGCAAGCAGCAGACTGTGATATTTCACACATGGAAGTGCTGCAAAGGCATAGAAATTCAATGATGTGGTGATTTTCCACTCGACTGAAACTGAATTGTTTTTAATCCCATACAGACACAGGTCCTCCTGGAAGAGCTGGCATAAGTATGTGACCCCAGGCCATGGTTTCCTCAGCATCCTCCAACAATGCACGTCTGACAATTGCAGGGAGCTGCAGAGTCTGTGAAATACCAATGGTTAAAATTATGCTGGATGTTGGCAATGTCTAGCATCCAGCACTTGTTCACCCTCTGTCACTGCTCCCTGGTGCTGTTCCGGTCACTGATCTGTCTGGTCCTGGGCCATTGTTTGCTAGCTCCTCTCCAGCTACACCACAGTTAACAGAAGTACTGGGTTGATTTGACCTGTTGTCATGTCTGCTTGCAGTGATCTGTGAACAAATTGCAAGGAACAATCGGGTCAGCTAATTCTTAGGCCCTCACTACAGTCCTGAGCATTTATACACACTGGGAAGCCCTATACTTAACATCAGTCCCACTTCCACCCACAATCAATACTAACCTGGAGGATCACTGACCAAGATCACATGGTGTTGGTGTAGCCACGTGCATGGACACTAAGTAGTAATCCCCAAAATAGAAGCCATGATTGTGCACCTTCCCTCAGTTATTATCGTACCTCCCATCACACTCTTAAGCCTCAGTCCAACTTCCTTGTCTTCCCATCAGGTAATTTCCATCTATTCACTTGTCAGGCATGACCAGTCCTTGATGACTCTTTAGCTTCCCCTGACATTCAACCCTCCATCCATCATCCTTGGTACTTCCTCTATCGTCACAGAGAGTCCCACAGTTATCCTCTAGTCTCGGGACTTCTGGACTAACCATTCTGGTTATCATCTTTGCTCACATCACAATCATTTTGAACTTACGCTCTTCCCTCCATGATCCAGCGTTATCTCTCTGACCACCAGGAGAGGTTGGTGCACAGTCACCTCCTTCTTTTCTTCCTTCAATCAGCAAGGGCATTCTCTCAGTAAATCCTTACCTTCTCCCTAACCTTGCTTGCATTTCAGTTGAATCAGGATCTCAGCTGAATGGGACCTGTGGTTCAAGCAGCTCACTACAGAGTTTAGACAGTGACCAAAGAGATAAGAGGAGACTTGACCATGGCTCCCATCTATGTAACCCATGATTATAGGGACTTATCTTTATTTGAGTTGATGGTGCCCACTATTCACTTCACCCAACCAAAATGACCTTTTTCCGACTTCAAAGCAGTACACATAAAGAGTGACTGCATTTCAAGGAAGACATTTTACAAAATGGTACGTAATATATTTCTACAACCACGCCACCTCTTTGCACCAATGTTTCCTCCAAGCTGTGTGGGTCCACACTTCCGATTGGTGAGCTGACACCATGCTGACATATTCACCTGCAGTTTCACCAGCTGCTGGAGGAACTAGAGGGAATACGGTCTTCCATCCTTCCCCAGTGATCCACCAACATCCCCATCACTCAGTATAGCCAGAGTTCCTCTTGTCGTCGTTACCATAAAACCTCCCCAAATAGCCTTGACTCGATGGTCATCACCATACAGATGCTTTCTCTTCCCTCCCAGTCTAGAATTGTTACTGTCCTCATGCCTACCCTGACACCCCCTTTATCCATGCCATTGGTTGTTAGATTGTATAACCAACACTACACCCTCCATCCCCTTCAATGAGAACATTTAAGACCTGACCACAAGCCTAGAACTGTTACTATAACACCTCCCTCTCCAACGTCTCACTGTGACTGCTTCATGTGCTGCGCAGTACCCTCAGCTCAAAACACCCAGGTCCCCCACCAGCGATAGCAGCAATACCACCCTTTAGGACCATCTCTCCAAACATTCCTCTGCCAATAGCAGAACCACCACATTGTTCCTTCCGCCACATGTCCCTGCGCCCTTGCCACCCTCCCCATGTTGGGCAGCCTCCCTCTATTCCTCACTACTTGTTTCAGACAGCCCATCCCCCCGGTCCCCTAGATTGCAGCCACCCTTTCCCATGGTGCCCCTCTCTACCTGCTTTGGACAGTCCTGCTCCATGCCCCTTAGATAGCAATAGCAGCCTGCCCACCTGTTCTGTCACCTTTCACCTGTGCTACCAGACCACGATTGGTATCTGTTGTTGATCAACACTCCCCAAAGACAAATGCTCTCCTTACTCCAGCAACATGATTACCACAACTGCAGTACACCATTTATATGAGCGTGTGAATCGGACAACATAATTCTCACTTGCCAATTGCTCAGAGATTACGTTTAATGGGTCTGGTGCCATGCAATAGTTACTATTGGGCATTTTGACCCACTCTCAAACTGTAAAGAATTTAACGCCATAGTTTCTTGCTGCCATTAGAAAGCTACTTTGCCCTCTCACACAACTGAGCTTCTCCACCTGCCACCCTCCCACTCCTGGGAGCAACACAAGATTCACCCACCGCCCCACAACAAAAATCGGAACCTTCGGGTCACGTGGGAACTTTCTCCAAGGTCAGCTTTACACATGGGAGAATTGGCCCAGCTCGGAAAATCTCAACCAAGAAGCAAAAAGTCAGGCCAAAGTGTCTCATCAAAAACTTTCCATGTTCACAATAGGCCTTTATATGACAAAAATGAAACAGTCCGATGAAAGATTTAACATGGTGCAAACTTTAATTCTGTTAGCAGCTAAAATCATCTGCATTCTCAGAAAAAATTTCTATCTTGCATTTTACAACTTTCTTTTTAAAATTTTACAACTTTTCCCAATTAATTTGTAAAGGGGGGACAAACCTAGTTAATTAAAAGACAACTTTTTTTGCAATTTATTTATATGTATTTTTGACTGGCATCTTTTTGAATTTCAGTTCTGCTTGATATCATATTTCTTGACTATATTTATCAACCTGTCTTCTTAAAGCCTGTCATCTTGCCTCGAGTCTAAAAAGAGGTTGTCAGGCCACAGATTCCAAACTATGAGAAGACGGGAACCATTATGTAGGAAATCACACATTATTGTTTTATAGACATATAAGATAATATGAAATAATCCATTAATTGATATCCTTTCAAAGAGCTACTAATGCCTAATGACTGGTATAAAAATATATACAGATAATGCACAGGAATTCAGCAGATTTGGCAGCATCTGTGAAGAGAGAAACAGAATTAAGGTTTCGAGTCTGGCATGACTTCTTCAGAACATAACTATGTTTGTGGGGTTTTTTCTCCTTCTCTTATAATCTGTACATGCTCGATTCTCATGCTTGGTCCTGAACAAAGATTCTGAAACAGAGTCATACCGGACTCGAAATGTTCTCTCTCCACCGGTGCTGCCAGACCTACTCAGAATCTCCAGTAATTTGTTTGTCTCAAATTTCCAGCATCCACAGTGTTTTGTTTTGATTGCTATAAAAACATGTTGTCATGCTTCTACATTCCTCAATTTAGTTTAGTTTAGTTTATTTAGTTTAGGAGTTGAGGTTTAAGTAACAGTCAAGTAGCATTATCCTACTTATTACCTTTTGAAAGCAAGCAGGAGACCATATGAGCATTCCAGTACCTGAAATAAGCTGAAGAGGGATCTTTGAGTGTTCCCCGGGAATGCTACAAATTTGTCCAGAGATCAGGACAACTGGAAACAGTGAGAATTAAAGATTACTTATAAAGAAGTATTCCGAAACATGAAAACCAAGCATATTTGGAGGACAAGCAAAAAAAAAAACACAAACATAAATTATATCCATCAGGGAAAGATTTTCAAATTATTGTCTATGGACAGATTTTGAGCTAAATTCTAAGGAAAAACAGCAGACTACTAGCCTACTATAGCACTCAGTTCATAATATTGCAGTAGCTGGGACCCTTACTGTGGGGAGCTTGTATCATGGTGATACTGTATTAATGGTAATCCATTATCAATTTTGAGAGACTTTCTGATTATGGTAACAGGGCATTTGGCCAATCCTGCTCTTGATGATTCTTTGAAAGATTATTCCAATTAGTACCATTGTAGTACACCTTCCCGATAACCCTGCAATGTTTTCTCCTTCAGAGATTTATGGCAATTCCCTTTTGAAACGTTTCAGTGAATCTACATTTACCGTCTTTTCAGGCAGTGCATTCCAGATCGTAATAATTTTCTCCGCAAAATAAAAATTTTCATCTCACCTCCTTCCTCAACCACATATCAATAACCTCAGTCATAGACAGTATTGAAACAGTATTTTTGTAGGCATTGGCAACTATCAAGGCAGTCCTGTAGAATAAAAGGAAAGCTAAAAAGAAATCCTACAGGACTCTTGACCTTACACAGAACTGAAAAATCCAATATATAAGTTACACCAAAATCAAAATTGCGAACCACCTTAATATCTACCACTTCAGTGAAACCTCTATCAATTTGCACTTCTTTTTATACTGAATATGAACCTTTACATTAAACTGAAAGTCATGCACCAGATTTCCTAGCGAACCAAGTGAACACATTCTATGAGATTTGAAATGTTTATGTCTATGGAATATTTCTGACTAATAAGTGACCTTGGGATTGAAACAGTCTCAATAGAGTTCACACAGTCTGCCACAGAAATGATAAGATTCAAATCAAAGATCTGTATTGTCTGTATTTGATGACATTATCTGGTGTACCATGGACAGAAATTAGCATCACTGGTGGCAGAAAGGAAACCGCAGCCCTTTGTGCACATGGACAGCATGAGAAAAAGCACGGCTGTGACGTGTCACAGATAGGGATGTGAGAGACCATAAATAAATGCCCTCATCTTGCTCGGTGTATCACAACCCTGCACAGTGCAGACGCCTCCTCTCCTATCAACGCCAGTACATACCTGTCAAGTTGAGACATATCAGGATGCAGAAATGTGTGTGCAATGATGTATACTGATGCAGTTAATCAAACAATTCAAAGAATAACAAATATTTCAGGATTTATTTTACATGGAAAAGCAAGTTACAACAGCAAGCAATTATATGAGGAGATCTCTTCAGTACATTTGCTTAGTTTTTCAACATACTCTGGAAATCATCGATAAATTGTATAGTTGAAGGCTTTACCTACAGGAAGATAAATCAGTCCCATTACAAAAACATCTCAAATATTTCAGGGATTAACAAAAAAGTGTCTCTCAACTTTGAATGCATTCATTTTGCAATTTCTAGCATTTAATGAGTAAATTATTCTTGTATTATATAGAACTATGCTGGTCCTTTTAAAAACAAATTACAGGATAAATTGAGAGATCATTAATTTAAAAAAGAACAAGCAAATTATTTCCTTTTCGGGGGAAAATCTAAAATTGAAAACTTATACAGAACATAGAAACCTCTCTAAATTTCAAAAGGCTGTTTGATACTTTAGTAACTGATTAACAGATCTAATGAATTTAATTAATAGCTTGACAAATCACAACATTAATTAACCATTTACAGTCCCCAAAAATGACAACCTACTGTAAATTGTACAAAGTGTTGTGTAAACAATCAACAGGAGATAGCCAACCTTGGGTTTAATATTAAAAAGACAACCTCAATGAAAGGGACCAACAGCTTTTCCAAGCACAGCATCGATTGTATCCATCAACAATCTCAATGACAAATAGTCAACGGTACAATGGGTTCCAACTGCATAGTTTTCAAATAGATCCAATTTAACTTGGATATTTTAAAAGAGCATATTTATTTAGATATAGTTATTTATATATATTTACAATTTAGATATCTATTGTATTTTCAAACATATAGCGGTAACAACGCACGCTCAATTTTTTTTTGTCACATCATACCCTGCTCTGATGATGTTAACTCTTTGTTGGGGGAATGAAGGTACTGATCCATGAGAGGTCGTGCCTCCTCATAATGTTACCCAACCATTACTACTCATATCTAGAACAATGAGTTGGAGGCAGTTGGTTCGACAATGAAGGGGTCTTCACAGGCAAATCCAAGCCTATCTTCTACATGTGCAAACATGAGCACTTCCAGCATCAACTGCTGGATGACCATTGGGAGTGGGAGCCAATGTTTTCTCCACCCTAACCCCGGGGGTGCTGAGGTCAACTACACCGAGTCTACTTTGCACCAAGCTGAGATCAGCTAACTCAGCCCAAGTGGTTCTGGGTCTGTTCACTACCTTAACTATTCACTGTGGCAGGGCTCTGAAGATCCTACCTGACAATTCAGATTATTAGCTGCAGGCCAGTATCCTGTTTGCTATAACTTGCTCAAACACTGACTTCAAATGGAACTGATTCTTTTCTGAAACTTAAAAATTAGAATACTGGTCCGAAGAATTAAAACCCCTAAGCCCTTATTCTTTCACACTTTAACCCATTTCAAACTAAAATTAGTTAAGTATTTGGGCAAAGAAGGATTTAAAAATTAGTCTTACTGACCTTTGCACAGTGAGTTATCAGCCTGGTGCACACTCTTAAGTGTAGTACCTAACGCTATAGGACACCATTAGTATCTGTCAGGTAACTGCTGGGGTTTGTCCATTTGACAGATTGGAAGCTACATGGAGTTGGAAAGCTAACACCCTTAACTGATTATTTACTATTTTGTGTGGCATTATTCTACTTTTTTTTGTTTTGTTTTCAGTTTCTAATTACCTCCTCCCCACAAATATTTAGCTACTGATCTTGGTCAGCATTTTGTTGATGGCTTGCTTGACGTGGGTGGTAGAACTTCTCCGCCTTGTCTTGCCTTGGATCATTTTACGCCGTCTCACCTCTCTGCACAGTTCATAGAATGCTTCGTTGATGTTGCCCTCTCCGGTGCAGGCTGAACACTCGTAAAAAGCACAGGCCATTTCAGTAGCCATTTTCTCCCCTTCCTCAGTGGTTACCTGCCTGGAGTGGTCCAGGTCAGCTTTGTTACCCACCAGGATCAGTGTCACGTTTTTTGGCTTTTTGATTTCATCCAGGAAGTTCTTCAGCGAAATCACTTCCTCGAAGCTAATTCTGTCAGTGATGTCATAAACCAAGACAAAACCCTCCGCCCAGCGCATGTGACTTTCCCTCTGTAGAGCATCCTCCTGAAAAACATTGCATTACATACTGTTTGAGGACATCTGCAAGGTTACTTATAGAAACACAAACTAATTAATAATCAAATCCAAATCTACATAAAATGCCACCTTAGCCTTTTAGGGTGTCTGGTGAATCTGCACGAGTAACTAGATCAAAGCAAGAGTTACCTTTCTTTAATGTTCCTTTAGTTCTATGCTTGCATATCGCCCTACTAGCTTCTTTAAGTTCCCAAAATTGAATGAACCGTCCAATTGAGAAGATGGTAGCTATAGCACTAAGTAGTGACAATCGTTCGTCAGCTATATATGAAATGTAATTTTGTACTACCACTGGGATTTCATCAAGATTTCCCTTTAACACAATAGTGTCACTGCAATGGGGAGGTGATGGCACAATGGTAATATCACTAGACTAGAAATCCAGGGACCCAGGCTAATCCTCAAGGACATGGATTCAAATTCCACCATGGTAGCTGGCAGAATTTCAATTTAATTCTGGAATATAAAAGCTAGTTTGAGTAATGGGGTCATGAAACTGCCATCAATGGTGGTAAAAAAAAATCCATCTGGCTCATGAATGTCCTTCAGGGAAGAAAACCTGCCAGCCTTGCATGGTGTGGCCTACATGTGATTCCAGATCCACAACGATATAACTGACTCTTAACTGCCTGCTAAAACGGCCTAGCAAGACATGCAGTTTAAAGTAAATTAGGCATGGGCAACAAATGCTGTTTTACCTACAAACTTTGAGAAAAGAAAGGAATGTACAGGTAGCTCTGCTATATTGCGTGTTTCGTTAAAGCAAATTAGCTGTGACGTGATTGATGAATAGTAGGCACTGTTTGGATAACGCAAACTTTCTGCCATACAGGTATAGCGATTTTCTATAGCAATTTCCCTATAATGTGATTTTCTATAGCGATTTCCCCATAACATGATTTTCTATAGCGATTTCCCTATAACGTGATTTTCTATAGCGATTTCCCTATAACGTGATTTTCTATAGCGATTTTCCATAGCGTGAGGACACGCATACACGCAACTATCGCATTATAGGAGAGCTCTGTGCTACACAGTTCCAAGGTTTTTCTTCAAAAGCACTTGACCGTAAGATAGTATGATAGCAATATGACCCTGGTCAATGCTTATGGTAGACTGATATAATCTTAGACAACAAGGTGTAGAGCTGGATGAACACAGCAGGCCAAGCAGCATCAGAGGAGCAGGAAG